CTTGAGCTGTGACTATTTTTGAAGCCATAAAATGAACTTTGATGAGAAATTTTGTTGCCTCTTTTACATATTTTCTATGCCGTTTTTTTGAAAAACTTTCAAATGTCAATAATTCTATGACCATCTCCTTCTTGTACAGCATCATAATAATTAGCCCAAATCAAACCAAGTGTAATTACTTCGCATCCATAACTGAGTACTCCATCTACATGAACATTATTATTTGTCTCTAGACACACATGCTTTTCAATGATCGACTTTGCTACATCCTCAACAGTACAGTCATCACTTAGTACCTGATTTTCAGCAACTGAAACAATGTGTGCTTCAAAAATTAGTCTGAAAAAATTTTCTGCAGCTTGCATTTTTTTTGTCGGTCCTGTGGTACCGATGTCTGATTAATAAAAATTTTCAACTGTGCCAGTGTCACTTTATCTACAGTCGAATTCACTTCATACAATCTGGTCCGTATCACTTTAAAATGCAAAACGTACACTTATCTTAGTAACTTGACTAAGTACCAACGTACTTTCATCAATGTTAATCCAGCATGCCAATCCTCTAACACTGGTAAGAAACCCTGTAATTGATTTTCCACATCATCATGCCCACAACGAATGTTTATTGCTCCTCGAGCACGTGCAACTGTAAGCTGATCACCTCCAAACACAGTAGTCCATGTGTCTAATCTGCGTGTTCGTGTGACTCAGAACTGGGTAATTCAAATTTCTGATTCTTCCTAATTTGGGAACGTAACTACAGTGCCTCTCCAATATTTTACACATCTCATCAACTTTATTTTCATTATATAAGTCAATACCTAGTGATACCTACATGGTATATGAGTGTAATGTTTAATATGGTTACATATTTTGTAAAACTAACCATCTCAGATTTCATTTTCATTTCTTGTGAGTATTGGTGAGGTAAGAGCCATGTTACAGTTGGTGCAGCCAATTTAAACTGATTGATATCAGTAACTAATATTCTAATAACAGAATTTTAAACTGTGATTTGCCTTAAACATTGATTTACTTTGATATCAAAGTGACAAAAGTATCCGTTAATTGTTGACTATCATTGTCTGATGGTAACAACTGACATTCATCAATTTCTCCTGATGGAGGTGATTCAAACAGGCTGCCTAGATCCACTCTGTCCTTTACAGCAAAAGAAATGATGAGACATGGTAGAGTCGTCTATTCTCTGAAAAGTACGTCTAAAGTTTACATCAGTGTTATCTTTTACAATCTTAAACCCACTCCACTCACTACAGTCATTTATTAGAAATGAATCTGTTAAGACAAATAATTTAAAATTTTGTTGCATGTCATGTTACCATTGTCATTTATTGTCAGATCTGGTATCATAATGTCTTCATTTTCAGCTTCATTATCCATACCTAAATTATATATGAAATACAATTTGCCATATAATTGTCAAACCCACCACCATCCTCATCCTCAATGTCATCCGCAAACACAACATCATTCTCATTATCAATGTCCTCATTATTCACTTCGGTTACATCGTTATTCATTTCATAAAAGACTCTTCATTACTGCATGCCTTTTCTTCCTCGCTTTTGCCACAACATTCAGCATCACTCCTGTACAGAATTGTATATCACATTATTGCACTCATCATGTTACTGAACATCTTCCTCATTCTCAAAGACATCATCATGAGCCTCATCCATACAGCTACAATCATTCGAAACAACACCTTCACTACTGCCAGAATTATCTATTTCTGATATTAAAATTATTACACAAGTAAATTTCCTTACCATTTATTTCAAAATCTCTATCATCAGTAAAACTGTGTGGCATCTCTTCAAAATTGGGCAGATGAGTACAACAACTTCCTGTTTTCTGTGGAAATAATAAATATTACTTATAGTATAGTGCAAAAAAAGCTAAGTAGAGCGAAGTACCACCGCAGTACTGTCAGCAAACTTTGCTCTAACAGCGGGAGTATATACATGCACGCATTCTAGCCTTCTACTGTGTGCTGCAGTTGCTGCTCTACTGTGCCGTGTGGTTGCAGTGTGACTAAGTACCCTCGCGCTGCACCCGACCGAAGCGACCAAGGATGGTGAAGCGCGTTCTACCTTCTAGGCCTGTAAACTCACATGAGAGGACACAAGATCACCAAAGGACAGCGTGATTTTGTCACAGCGCCAAGAATCAGGAGACAAGAATGGTGTCTAGCACATAGAAAAAGCAGAAAATATTGTAAGAAGGCTTATTTTATTGGTGTTTCATTGCTAATAGAAACTCTATTATTATTAAAATCATTATTATATATAATTAATTGTAAAAGACATCAGTTGTAGGATATAAATCAACAACTATCGTTGAATTGTTAACAGAAGGGCTTGATGTAAAAGTCAGTGCATGATATAGATTGTTAAAGAAGTATGTAGAAACTTGCAGCATAACCCATCGTCCAGGTTTGTGAATTGGGATAGTTGTGAAGTGTTGATTGATTGTGTTTACTTTGATATTATTATAATTATTCTACTGCCATTAAAAAACAAAATTTAAAATAACTGATACTGATACATTAACAGACATTTTCATGCAGGTTCAGGACGTCGATCTAAAATTACACGAGCTGTATTACATATTGTTGAAGATCAAATGCGTACTGATGACGAAACAACAGCAATCCAGTTACACAAAATCCTGGTGGATCAAGAGCACCCATTATCATTGAAGACTATACTAGCTTCTCGAGAAAGGCTTGGCTGGACTTTTCGAGGAAGTGCCTGGACTTTTTAAGGCAGTGCCTATTGCCAGTTTATGCAAGAGGCAAATAAGCAGAAACACTTGGACTGATCGCTAAAATGAGCAATGGATTTGAGGACATACTATGGACAGATGAATCGAGTTTTCAAATGGAATGCCATAGGAGATATTGCTACTGGAAGAATGGAGAAAAGCTAAACCTAAACCCAGGTCAGCCATAATTATACTGCTTGGTTGTTATAATATTATGCATAAT